AAAAAAAAAAAAAAAAAAAAAAAGAGTCCATGCATGCATCAGGGTTCACACAATACATGCAACAGAGTCCCTAGGTGGGCTTCACTAGGGATACTGGACAGCCAGCCTCAGAGACATGATGTAAGCAGCACAGAAGCTTTAGTATGACCACAGGAGAATTAGTGTTACAGTAAAGCATGCATAGTAGGGAATGACTGAGGACCCACAATTGTAATATGTATCATCTCTTGTTTCCAGCAGGCCAATAATGCTTGTGGACTTGGAAACAAGCTTTTCGAAAGGCACCAATAGTACAGTGTCTCTCAGACCCTTTGGAGGGGGGCTAAAAGGTACTATGAATGACCAGTATGACCCTCTGGACTATAAACTATCAGAATTCCTCTGAAAGGGGAGAGCCAATCTGTTACTCTAATGGTGACAGGAAGGCTAGTGTAGGGTAGACAGGGAAGACCTACTTACTACGACACCAAACCAAAACTGAGCACCCCTTAGTGCATGGGGGGTATAAACCACAGTTTATACTGTGAAAAAAGTGATTGCCTATACAGTGTTTGTAGACAAAGCATTTACCTTCATAGGTCTTTGGGGGTAACAAAGCCAGTATATCATAAAGTCTGAGGCGGACCATTGCAGCACTTGCCTTTAGGTGGGCACCATGAGCCTTAATTACAGAAAGAATTCTAGGAGAAAATGGAAAGGTAAAAGAATAGAAACACCAATATATCACGGTCAACAAAAGTACACCAAAGATGCATTTCTCTGTTTGTGGTGAAGTGAGCTATGGTTCAAACATGACTCTGGATATTATTTCTTCTAGTTTGGAGTGGAGTTAAAATTTCAATTTGGGTAGATTGTCCCTCACTTGCTGTCAGGAACATCAACAGAATAATTGGGGGTAACAATTGTCCCTGCTAATGAATAGCAAAGAGAGCAGTAAAAACATTCTCAGACGTTCTTACCCTTCACCAATTTGTTCACGTTTCTTTTCCTATCGAAAATGGGACAGGAAGTATGCAGAAATCTACCCAAGGCGACACAGCTATAAAAACCTGACAGAGACTCTAAAACAAAATAAAAAGTCTTGATTGGAGCTGAGCTTTCAATCTCTGCTTTCCAGAAGTCAAGTAGGGAACTTCTTCCCCGCTACAGCAGGGACATAAGCATGGCTGGCTTCAGCACTGGGTTCATCACCACAGAGTGCACTGAGGGTATATCACTGCCAGGACCATAGATGGTACAGAAAGGCAATCAAGGATCAAGTTCTGCTTCACTCCACCCAAAACAGAACATCTTCATAACGTATTTTAAGTTACGTTGCTCTTTAAGATCCAGCTAGTAGAAGCTTACGGTAGAAAACACATAACACAAATAACAGTCTGTAATAATACTTACTGAGACATCATAGTCATAGCACATTCAATAGGTGTCATCAGTTTCCTAATCACATCCTCTGTGAGCAGTTCAGGACAATGAGCCACAAAGCTTCGCATAGCTGGAGAGGAGTAAATAATTGAATTAGCCAGAAAACAATTCTTAACATCTGAATTAAACAACCTGTCACCAGTGCTGAACAGAGAATGACATGTAGTAGGGAATACACCTGCATCTACAACAAAAAGTCACAAGCATTCTTTTTCATGTATTTATCATACACTGCTGGTTGTATCTAAACCCCAAAACACAAATTCTATATATTGTAGCTTACCAGTCCTTAGATGGGGTGGCTGCACTAGTTTCTTTGTTCCTTTATTTTTCCCCTGGTAATCCTGCCAGTAACACACTTCCTGTCTTAGGTGACAACACTCACTACACTATCTATAGACAAGCAGCATGGTTACCCTTGGCCAATCTTCTAAATAGGGTTACAAACACCTCGCCCTCTCCTAATCTCCAATACATAGAGGGGAGGTTGTAGTTTACAGAAGATGGAGGTTGGAAATGCAAATTACATTGTTTGAGATTATAGTTGAGTGCACAGGAAGACAAAAGATTTCCAGGAGGATCAACGGGAATTTTTCTGTACTTGCAGAAAATGAACTTGGCCTGGAAAAAGAAACGCAGCCACCACATCTAAAGACTGGTTAGCTGCAATACATTGGATTCAGATATACACAGCACTGACAAAATGTCTGTTAAACGCACACACACAAAAGTATATACATTTATTCCACCAAACAAAACAGACTAGCTACCAACTAAACAAAGGGAGAGGCAATGTAAAAAAGACTCTGCTGTACATCCAGAAGTGAGATAATCTATGGAGAGAAATGGAATAGAAAAATCTAAATGAATAAAATAAATGGACAAACTTTGTACAGTAGACTCTTACCACAAAGTGCTCCAGCACGTCCTTCCAGAGTCACCTGCCAGGTAAAAGCATCTCCTTTGGCTTTTTCAGCCTCCAGCTCCTTCAGGGAACGTGGAAATACATTTCTCCACAATAGAAGCATCTTAGGAAGATGATAGCGCACAACTGAGGGTCCTGTGTTAATACACATTAGATTTGATTAGCAATAGTCATACATGCTTTCATTCTCGTCAACATAAACATAGCCAAACAGTTATTGCATATTTTAGGAGCATTCTAAATACGTTGGTAAAATGAGTCAGTTATTGGCAAAGCTAGTAGTTAAAATTTGTAAGTACGATCCAAATAGGCAACTAATTAATGGGATTCTGATGGACAATTGTCAGTGTTCCAAAACCACTGTGTAAATACCTAATGTCATCAGAGCTCCAAGCAGCAGCCAACCAGCCTGAGTGCGCTGCAGGGACAGTCTGCTGTTTTGCGATGCTGTGCGTAGCAAGTCCTCAGCTATACTGACAACCATCTGCAAAAGAAAAAGCGTTACATTTAAAAAAAAAAAAAAAAGAACTTTCAAAATGCAAGGGAAAAAAAAAGGATTGCCTTAAAATGACAAACTTTTACAAATTATGAAAAATATATTAAAGTGACATTCAAGTCACAATTTCCTTCCCCCATATGCTGCTGTAAGGACTTACCTTAAATTAGGGGCGTATCTGCCGCGAGGCAAACAAGGCGTTTGCCTGGAGCGGCAGATTCCCAGAGGGCGGCAATTGCTGTGGTCGAGAGAAGGGGAGAGTAGCGGAGGCCATCGTAGCAGCGGGGACGCGAACGGCGGTTTGTGGCTTTTCGGCGGTGCTTTGCTCCGGTGAGTGATCACCTCGGGGGGCTGGGGGTGGAGGGGGTTGCTTGGCTTTTGCTGATGTGGAGGCGGCGTTGCTGTCTTGCCTAGGGCAGCAGCAGTTGTAAATACACCACTGCCTTAAATGAGGCCTCTCGATCCGATCATCTTCTTGCATCCAGTAGTTTTCAGGAGTCCCTCCAGCGCTGGTGCCGGTCTCTGATTCACTGCTGACTGCTGTGTCCCACAGTGTCTGTCCGATGTGCACCTTCACAGCTGCCTGCATTCACTTACACTGTGTCTCTCCTCTTCTCCCCGCCCAAGATCTCTACGGCTCATGCACCCGCCCCATCATCCTGCACAGCTGCTCAAAAATCTTCAGCTCTTCAGACGGGAACGAGCGGTGGAGAAGTAATTACCTGCTTGGTAACGTTTTTTTAAAAAATGTTTTTGCATTTAGCTACGGCTTGCTAGCAGTAGATACATGTAAAAACAAAAGTGACTTTAATACTACTGTAAAGAAAGAAATACATAAGGTGAATTCTTCACCTTTTGCCGGTTACATATTCCACCGCCGAAAAAGTGGGCATGATTCCTTAAAAATGTAAGACCATGTGACCGGTCACACATTCCAACTCAGTCACAATCTTTGATAGGACACTGACAGCTGCCAGCTCTGTTTATATGAAGATTTCCCGACCGGCTCCTTCATTCAGCTGATGAGGAATGCCAATTGAGAAGGTGGTGACAGTGGCACCCACGGTGCGAAGTGTACCACCTGGTATGTGCTTGCACATAATGTGCTTGCACATTATATCACACTTACCTTAAAAGCGTGGCCTCCTCCAGCACTGACTGATCATGCAAGTCACCGCTCCATCCACCACCTCCTCTACTGCTTCTTCCAGGTTCCCCTTTTGTTCTCTTCGTTCATTGGGCTGCCTCTGATGACATAAGCCCTGTGTAAACGCACAGGAGTTATATTGTCCTTGACCCCTGGATCCATTACAGGCATATTATAGATGCCATACTGTGTACACAAGCAATAAAAACTGCTAGAGGTGAGAAGTAGCTGTTCTTTGGCAGTAAAGATTTTGCATGTCTATTCTGCAAAAAAACTCTACATTCAAGCAGTTTTTTTTAAAAGTTTACTTTCACTTCAAAACTAAAAAGGTTTCATATTTTAAAAGTTTCTCCCAAGAAGTCTGAATACCACTATACACAATCACATACATATTATTTAATAAAGAAGGGCAAAGTGCAATAACTAGGTGCAAAGTGCAGTAACCCAAATAAATAAGGTAATGAGATGCGACTGCTATGGAAAACTGTTTTATTAAAGAAGTCCTATCGTGACTGGTAACTAAAACCCCCAAGTAAGAATATTAATAGAGGTCTTTAAGGTCCCAGAATTTACAAGATGACACCAGGTATAAACCAAAGAGGAAATCTTCACCAATGTGCTAGAGTATGAAAAGGATGGTAACAAATATACTGCCACTGATATTTGTGCACAGTTTGATTCTTACCTTTCCTTTGGAGTGAGGGATACCCAAAGGACATTGGTGCACACCACCAAGAAGGGCAGCCATTGCAAAGCTGTAGCCACTGACAGCTTCTGGGGAATTCTTTAGGTTGTTGAGCCTCTCGGCACACCTGTCAAGAAGTGGGGTCAGCTGAAAGGGTAGAGCTACTGCAACACAGCGTAAACACCATGCAGCAGCAAGCCTGGCTGCCATACTGGGGTGCAGGAGAACAGAGGTCACAGTATCCTGTAAACCTAAAAGTCAAAAAAAAAAAAAGAAGGACAACACGTTCAATGGGATGCAAATAATAAAATGTACATAGGTTTACTTAGAGGGTATGCGGTTACCTATTGATGGCTCCTGTATGAGAGGAGATGCAGTGGAGTTAAGGCTTTGCACCAGACTGCCTAGCTCTTGCAGAGCGCACACCATTACATGCTGACTAGCAGATACATCAGCCATACCAACTTTATTCTCATTATTAGCATCATTTACAACGGCTTCTGTTAGATGAAAAAAAAATTCAAACAGGTTATTATAAGAAAAAAATGTACATGAACATTTTTTTTTTCTAAAAATAATAAATGAAGCATTGCATTGGTATTACATTGAATAAAAAGCTGGCTATACACTGGTCCGATTTCAGACAAGTCCTGCTGACATAATTCAGCCAGTATGTGGCTCTGTTGAGATTCATTTTTCGATCGACTTTTGCCGAAGGAACCGGTCTGAAACATTTCAGGCAAACAGTTACTGCATCCCAATCAGCTGTAGTCACGGATCAGCTATTGTGGCAGCAGCACAATTGCCATTGTCAAAATACAATAGACGCTGGTGACGGTGAGGAGAACTGCCTCACCCACTCTGTTAACATACATAAGGAAATCGCGCCATTTTTCCCAAAGAAAGATTCTCAAAGTGTTTGGCCAGTCTTACAATTTAGTGAGCAAATTTAAATACAAATAAAACGGACATCTTACCAACAGATTTCATTTGTTTGCCGATTGCCTGACAGATCTCTTTAGCGGCTGCATTTTGTGCCTTCTCACCAAGCAAACTGCCAACTGTGGCTCGTAGAATAAATGACACACATCTTCGAGAATAGACAGCCTCTACGTGTGTCTGGGTGGCTCGGGGATGCGAGACAAGGTCAAGCACATGAGAAAGAAACGTGGCAAAATTGCGCTCCAGCCACTGTCCTCCTAAAGTGGTGACAAAGACTACATATGCCTAGAATGAAAAGGAAAGTTATGCTTTACCATCACAATCTCTATCACTCACTTCAACGTCCAGCCTCACTTTAATTTGTTACAAATTCATCACCTAGTAAATGTAAATTGATATTAGCGCTATTTAAAGTGCTGGGCAAACTGTTGGCGCTATATAAATCCTGAATAATAATAAAGTGTAACATCCAGGGCTGGATTTCCCACAAGGCCAACCGAGGCCCAGCCTCGTGGCAGCACGAAGTAGAGGGGCAGCATGGTTGTGGAAATCATATCTCCCAACAGCTGGGACATGCAGTTCTGGCCGCCGGGCGGGTAGTTGTTTTCTACATTTAGCCCTGCTTTGGGCAAGCAAGCCTAAATGTACAGCGGGGAAGCCGCCACTTGTTTTGTACAAGTGATATCGGCAACACTTGTATTCAGCCTGCATACGGGGGTGCATTGAGGAACCTGGGCTTGGGGCAGCAAAATAAATCTGGCCCTTGTAAACATCACTGGAAGAAATTTTGTTAAACATGCCCCAGTCCAGGCCTTCAACCCATATGCTCACCATTCCCAGATAGTGGTGTACGAAATCTATGTAGACAGGAAGATGACCTAGCTGTATTGCTTTACTACAGTAGAAAAAAAGTCAAGTCACCAGCCTAGCTCTGCTTTCTTACAGGGGGGTGGGCGTGTGTATGTATATACACAATATATATTATATATACATACGTACGTACGTGTGTGTGTGTGTGTGTGTGTGTGTGTGTGTGTGTGTGTGTGTGTGTGTGTGTGTGTGTACATACACAAACACATACATACAGTGGGGCAAAAAAATATTTAGTCAGCCACCAATTGTGAAAGTTCTCCCACTTAAAAAGATGAGAGAGGCCTGTAATTGGCATCATAGGTAGACCTCAACTATGAGAGACAAAATGAGAAAACAAATCCAGACAAATCACATTGGCTGATTTGGAACAAATTTATTTGCAGTTTTCTCATTTTGTCTTTTATAGTTAAGGTCTACCTATGATGCCAATTACAGGCCTCTCTCATCTTTTTAAGTGGGAGAACTTGCACAATTGGTGGCTGACTAAATACTTTTTTGCCCCACTGTCCATACATATATATATATGAGCTCCCACATCTGTATTTCAGTGGTGTGTTTAGCGGTTTGCCTAAAGATCAGCTTTAATGTCTTAATACTGACAAAGTGTGTTTTAATTTAGATAAAGCATAATCAAGTTGCCAGAGGACTAATCAGTAGCACCTTCCATTGATCAAAGATTGTTCTGTCACACAGATGGTTGAAACAGTGCTTCTCATACTGTGAAGTAAGCTGAGAGCTGTAGCTCGTGGTATACTGAGCTTTGGGTCACGGGAGGACGCTAGTTTACCTCCCGTGACCCTTAGGAGAACTATGGGGAAAAACATTTACCCCATAGTTCTCCTTTAACAGCTACTGGTAGATTCAGGTCAGATACTGGGGAAAAAAATCCAACTCAAGAAAAAATATGGCAGAATGAGACATCCCTTCTCCTAAGAACACTAAGTGAAAATGAGCAGGTGTGAGATTAGAGGAGTTATAGCCTCAAGGCGAGCGGCCTTTAGTTTTCTATGTGTCCAGTGTCTATGTCTCATGTAGGCAGCAGGATAACCTTAGGTTGCTTAATTATCAAACTGTGCCTATCATTGAACAATAGAGAAATGTTGTTTATAATGACCAGTGAGGTTTAAACATCTTTCTAGCAGAAATTAGATAATAAAAACAGGTATGACTAGTTAAGGGCATAATCATCAACATCAGAAAAAAAAAAAAAAAGTCACTAACCTGTGTAACACCAACTCTTACTTCTCGACTAATTGACCCTCCTCCCTTTAGCATTTCTCCTCCACTCTTTAGAAACCCAGATCCTCCTCGAAGAAATCCTGTAGCCATTAGTTCCAGCACCTCTTCTAAGGTGGCTTTCTTCACATTCTGGCGCATAACTTTAGTTACAAAATAAAGACTTATGTGAACTCTTGTGGTAATGATGCTACATATAACATAACACATATCAATTAACACATTTAAAATTGAGACTACAGATATTTGATTATTGTACATTATTGAGTCAAAGACAAAATGGTACATGTGACAGTTTAGTAATCCAATTTGCATGTTTCCACCAAGTCTGTAGTATCCCCATAAATGTTACAGATGGTATACAAAATATATTGTAGGCACAGCAGCGCGGAATAATTATCTGCAGAACAGGGGCACAAGCACTGCTAAGAGTATGGCATGTAAGGGAGCATAGCTCCCACAACTAGGGAGCATCTTTGCAGATTCAGAGATTTTTTAAAGTACTCCAATAAAAAACATTTTTTTTTCTAGTTCAGGATAGAGAGGGGGATGAAATTGAGGATATGTCGCGTTTCAATTGCTCAATTCGTTTTTTTTCTTTTTTTATGGATTTGCGTATCTCCTGACGAAGAATGCAGAAGTCTGCAAAATAACCTATTAACCCAAAGGCTGAATAGGATTGAATATATTTTTCACACGGCAACAGCTCAAATACAGCACCACCTCTACATCCCTGAACTCCAACTGGGAAAAAACAGCCTAATATTTTTTGTTTTGGAAAAATAGAATTTTCTTACCATAAAAGCCTCTTCTTGGAGTTCACTGAGGGACACCAGAAGTCTTTTACCTTTGGGTTATACTGCCACCTACAGGAGGATTAGACACTAGCAAGCAAAAAACTATAGGCCAGCTCAGGATAGCCTTACCTTCTTCAGCTTGCCTCAGTTTTGTAGCAAAGCAGTACTGAAAGCAAGGTCATGAACACGTGGGGTGGGACCTGTGTCCCACAATGGAAAGAAAGGGATTTTATACACAGTACAAAACTCCTATTCTTTTCCTCGTATATCAAGGGACAGAGGAAGTCTTTAACCTTCAAGATGTCCAAAAGCAGTTCAACTGAGCGGTGGGCAAAACAGCAAACAAATGCTAACAGGCCCAAGAAAGAACACGACAACTGGTTTCTTTCTGCAGCTCAAAAAGCCATCTGAAGGACCTTGTGGCCAAAGCTACTGTGAGATAAGGGCGAAACATCAACCTGTAAAACATAAAACTTGTGAACAGAAGACCAGGTGGCAACCTTGAAAATCTAGCAAACATTTGCTTGATGCCAGAAAGACCATGAAGCACTTAGAGATCTACTAGAGTTGATCTTGACAGGAATGGGTAGAACCCGGTTATTGAGACCATAAGCTTGCATGACGGTCTGTCAGAGCTGCTTAGAAATGGTGTAACGAGAAGCTGGTGCACCATTACAGGGACCATTCGGAAGGACAAAAAGGAGAGTTACAGGGCTATTCACTAAGGGGTGAAGAGTTTGGAGAAAGCAGAAGAAGTGAACAATCTAGGACAACATAGCTGAGCTGAAAAGTGAGCTGAATTGGAGAATGTTTCCAAATCAGCTAGCGTATGTTGTCCTAGATTGTTCACTTCTCCTGCCTTCTCCAAACTCTTCACCCTTTAGTGAATAGCTCTGCTTGTCTTTCTGAAAGAAGCAGTGGCTCTCATGGCCCATACCACATACAGACAATGGAGGAAATTGTATTTATTTGGTGAACCGAAGACGGACAGCGGGACAGAAGATCAATGTCTTCGATAGGCAAGAAGGACATGCCAGACCTCAACAGCACCTTGTCACTATGCAAAACCAAAAAGGGATCCTTGCAGGATAAAACCAACAGTTGAGACACTCAGGTGATGGCTACAAGGAAGACCACCTTGTGGTTGACAGTAGAGAAAGGAATTTCGTTAATGCGTTTAGATCCCACAGTGTCACAGGGAAACAAACAAGGGGCTGCTACATAAGAGACTCCCTGTACAAAAGGTCCTAATCAAGGGATGAGATGCCGAACGTCTCTGAAACAAGATAGAAAGGACAGAAATGTGGCCCTTGATAGTGCTGAAAGCCAAAACTCTGGCCCAGACCCAGCTGCAGCAAGAAGAGGATTTGTCCCACAGAGAAACGTCTAGAGTGAAAGGCTCACATCAAGTGAAGGTCCGATTATGATAGGAGTCACAGATTCAAAGATGTCACTGTCTCTCAAAACCAGGGCCTCAACATCCATGCTCTTAAAGTAACAGTTAGGTCATTGCATGCTAACAAAATATAATAATAATCTGCCAACATTCATTAACTACTAATTACTGTCATAATGCAGTAAAGCCGCCTCCAAACACCCTATTTTTATCTTGTTCATCAAAACCACGCAATCACCCCAGTCTCTAGCTCATATAGGATGCGGAGGAGGAGACAGAAAAGGACATTCGGCTGCGTTCACTGGTGTCATGTATCCCAGGCGCTTAGTAGCTCCATGGCGACCCGGATGAAATCCCTATATACTTCCTACTTACATCACTGTCCATCTACAGCTCGGGGCGGGCTAACAGGCATGACTGCCATCAGGCTGACTGCAAAACATGGGATCTAACCGAAGGCATTGCGGTCTGTTATGCAGCTGGGAGCATCAAGCCCCGCATTAAGCCGTGAGTACACAATACTTTTTGTTAGAGTACCAGGAGCATGCGCACTGTAGTGGCAAAGTTGCAGAGGCTCTACAAATTCACAGATCATTGCCACCGACAAGAAAGAAGGAGTAACTTGCAGGATCAACAGGTAAATTCTATTGGAGGACACAGAAACCACAATCCCTTATGTGTGGGATCGCTAGCGCCACTAGTCCTACACAGACTTTCGCAACAGCACCTCCCTGTGTGATAACACCACCATAAACTCCACCCTATGCGTTACATCAATCAACTTTGTCAGGGGCTCAGAGTTGGTGACTCATACTAGCTTTTTATCCCTGCTTTGTTTAATGCTTCCCTAATAAACAAGCTCCTATACATATGGTTTCTTCTTGCATCTGATCCCATTTCTCTTTTACAAACTACCCTAATACCATACCTCCTATAACTCCTTCTCCTCCTCTTCCAACCTAAAATTCCATTTAATACAAGATCTTAACCATTATACTGATGTTTTCAAGTCTGATGTTTTTTTTCCAACTAATTACCTATATTTATCTTCTAAACTTAGTTAGCCCATCCAAATTATTTGCAACTTTCCAACTTCTCTCTCAATCTCAACCCCTCAATATATATATTTTTAAAAATTCCCTGTTATGATTTACTTTGGACACTACATCTAACTGTATAGTAAGGTATTTTGATTGGAGGTGGGGGTTTAGTAGGGAGCTTTACTTTAAACTATTGGCTAAGAAAAATGTTTGTTCTTTTTAAGCCGACAACTGCAATAATCATTTACCGCTTTTAATTAAGGTAGAAGCATTTCTGTACAACCTACCTGCTGCCTGTTTTGGCATTAATGCAGTTGCCATAACAGTCCCCAAGAGTTTAGACACCGCAACTCTGACTCCATAGTTAGAGCCTTCCAGGGCCTTGAAACAGAGTGTTGCAACATTCTCGAGCTCGGCTGTCCACATGAATACAGCTTCACTCTGGAGCTCTAACAAGCACTGGAGGAAGAGAACACAGATTATTACCCAGGCATATTGCATTTCCACATTAGTATATGTTACATAGAGCTATGATACACAACACGTTTAAAACCAAGATGAAAAACATATTTTCTTCTCTGAACATTTTTTTTGCTCACAAAACATATTATTAACAGTCAATTAATCATACATTTGATAATTTTAAACAATCATTTTTCTTACAATCTTTTGCTTGAATATGATCGTTCAGCCCAACAGAGGAAAAGACTAATTTGGCCAAATTTGTTTGTAATTTCATCCAGGACCAATTATTTTTTACCGACAGCAGTATATAAAAAAAACTGCAATACTACCACTTCTAATATCCACAACATTTACATTTAAAGTGACATTAAAAGGATAATTTTTTTTCCCTCCCCCCATGTTAATGTCAGCACTTACCTTAAATGATGTCTCTTAATCCGATCTTCGTCTTCTTTGCCCATGTTTTCATCTGTCCCTCCAGCGGTGCGGCGGCTCTCCGATCCAGCGCCGACTCCTCTCTGCTTGCAGGCACTTCCGATCCAGCGGTGTATGCAGGCGGGTGCACGCATCCATTGACTTACCTTGCGTCTCTGCTCGTCTACCGGCCAAGAATCCGAACTGCGCATGCGCCTGCCCCAAGATCCTTTGCGGCCGCACAAACAGTTTCGGACTCTCGCCGCGGGAGCGCGCAGCAATAATAAGGTCAGTCTAAAGCGCTGTTTAAGCGTTTTGTTTTAAAAAAACACTTTTTGCCTATATCTACTGCTTATCAGCAGTAGATATAGGCAAAAAACGGGAGGCTTTAGAACCCCTTTAAGCAGAAACAATAGTGATAACGAACAAATGCAAGATAAATTAATTTTAAATTATAGTATCCGGAATATGTATTATACATACTGTATAAGTTAAATGTATACAGACAGTCCCCGGGTTACGAACAAGATAGGAACTGTAGGTTTGTTCTTAAGTTGAATTTGTATGTAAGTTGGTACGAGTAAATTTTTTAAGTGTAATTTTTTGTTAGTTTTGGATAGCATAGGGAAGGGTTAACCCACTGTAACGTTTGTTTTGCTGTATGTGCCCCTGTTCAGAAGATTTCACCTCACTTTCTGTCCCTGTGACAATTGGATTTTGAAAATTGGAACCAAGGATTGGTGATAAGGCTTCAGTGGAGACACCTTTTTCCCATAACTCTTACACGAGTGAATTTCCCTTCCTAGGGGTAGATTTCATCTCACTTCCTGTTGTCTCAAGGACAGGAAGTGAGACCAAATCTTCCTAATGAGGATTCAGACAGCAGCAAAAACCCACAGTGACCCGGAAGAATCACCCCTCGTCTGCACGTCTAACAAGAGCCAACTTGCTGTAATCTACATACAGTACTACGACCAGACCCAAAAAGGTAGGCACTCCTCATTGGCATGAGCGTAGTAGCATTACAATGACTGAAATGCTGCGCGGTACACTTTGGCTGCAGCCTGGCACCCCCTGCTGTACAGTAATAGCTTCCGTTTGTAAGTAGGGGTCGTATGTAAATCGGATGTTTGTAGCTCAGGGACTGCCTGTATACGTAATATATGTATAATACATATTACTCATAATGTTTATTTATACCTAAATATATTACCCATATCATACAAAAAGGTTATATCCTGAAGTTTTTTTCTTTTTCTGTGTTAGAACAGGTCATACTTTTATATTACTGCCCACTTATGTAAATCGGCAGATTATGCAAGTCTTTTTAAATTTACTTTGAAAAGTATATAACATGCTGAGCTCATTTATTGTTTAACTGTTAAGAATTAGTGCATTGTGTTCTCTAAGATAAGAAAAGACTGTATTACCTTGGCTACAGCACATCGAACAGCCATGGATCTGTCTGTCAAAAGGGATCGCGTATTCTTGTAAATGTCTCTGTGACTGGAAGATGCAGCTCCTCCAAGACCATTCAGAACTTTCTGCAAACTCATCAAGATTTCACTCCGACCCTGTGACTTGACAGAATGGAGACCAGTCACTGAGTGCGTATGTTTATAAACAAAACCAACTGTTTTCAAAAACTTGTGAAGAAGTGTAATTAGCACTATTATAGTTTGCAGGCAGAAAGGTGGGACTTAGCTCAGAAGGCAAGCCCCTGGTGTGGTTTTAAAACTATAAAAAATAGTTGAAAAGCTCAGTTAACTTGACATAAATGACTTCCACTTAAAAAACCAAGTACAAAGCAGAGCAATAAAAAAAAAAAAATCAACACTAGGCAGGATATCTACATGTAGGTCATACCATGTACCCCAGTGAATTATAGAAAATAGCCTTTAATCTTTTTTTTGGACATCCATTTTTTGGGACAATACTAAAAATAATATAGGTTGAATTTGCTTGGAGCTAATAGCACTGCTCCTGCACCAAAGGCTGACTATACAAGAGCTGAGCTTGGCCTTTGTCTTAAGCTGGCCATAAACTGTACAGATCTCGGCAGTTATTGATGAACTGACCGAAATTCGTTAAGTGGGTGGCCCAACCGGCATCCTCTGATCAGAAAATTAAAAGGAGCCTGACAGAAAAATTGGGGGCGAACAATGACAGCAGCCAATTAGCTTAATACAGCTGCTGTCAAAAAAAAGTAGCCCAGCAGAAGATTCATCCATCAACGCTGTTTAGCATGAATGTAGGAATCTGTTATATCATTTTTTTTCGTTCGGCCCACAGGTTGAACAAACAAAATATAACAGTGTATGACCAGCTTTACTTTTCTTCTCCTTGCAGAGTCCTCCCCACCAAGAGAACATTCAGAGTGAAGAAATGGAGGCTCTGCTTCGTCTTCCAGTGTCTACGTATACTCAAACCTTATTGAAGTTCTACCTGCTGAAATTACACCTGCTAGTAACGCAACTCTAGCTAACAAGGTAGTCCATAGTACCTTTCAAAATGTTTGAAGCTACTCTAGTCTAGCTCCTCAATAACTTATCATAGAAAAGAAGCAAAATGTCACTTACTTCGGCATTTTTCAGGGACTTGAGCAGATTATTTACAGTGTCAGGGAAGGAACTTCCCAACATTCTGCCCATCTTTTCATAAAATGCCCCCACACATGCAACAGCAGCTCTAGAAGATAGGGTTAAAAACATGTTATTTCTTTCTTGTATATTTAGAGGCAAAATATTTAACAGAATTTTTAATAGAGCAATTAATCACTCCCATAAGTCCCCGTCTCCTAAGTGGCACATAGTCATCCATACTAGAGACAACCTAGATCAAAACCAACTAAATTATCGGTATGTTTTGGGATTGTGGGAGAACACTGGTGTATGCATAACAAACCAATGTAAACGCGGGTGACTGTACAAATGTAAATAGTGCCACTAGTAGGGGCCCTCAATGCGGCAAAACTACTGCGTTAGGAAATAGGCTACTATAAGGATGACCCCAATTGCTTCCTTGATAATGCTGGCCTTGGATAAGGCGTGTGACTACTTAGAAAGTTAGAGCAGCTATCTACTACTTTCCCTCCTGACAAAATGCCAAGTCCAGATGGTTTACCCAGCAAATGGTATAAGCACGCTAGAGATCTGATGAATACCAAAATACTCCATCAACAATCACTAGGCCATGGATTTTTTTTCACCAGAGAGGCACCAAATATTTTTGTTCGTCCTGAATCGGGGAAGGATGCTGAATTCTGCAATTCCTACCCTACCTATTTTATTACTTTATTATGATGTTAAACTCTGGGCTAATCCACTCTTCAAAACTAGATGTGCAAGAAACAGGCAAATCTAGTCGTGTGGTGTCTTTTGACATCCACAAGGCCTTTGATTCCATAGAATGGAATTATTTATGGGCTGTTTTACATGCAGTGGCTTGTTGACCTCAATTCGTCAATCATCAACTGTACACCAATCCGATAGCCAAAGTGAATATCAACAACCTTAACCCTCTCTCATCAAATTACAACATGAAACAAGGTAGGGATGTCCTCTGTCCCTAAATCTGTTTGCATTAGCGATAGAGCCATTTGCTAACTTAGAGAAACAGTCTACTTTATTTAAACGTTTGGTTTGGTGTAAACACAAGGAAAAGATCTCTCGATCCTTGACAACGTCAAACTAAAAGTGACCCCAACAGTCCAACATTAGACCACTAAACTTAAAGTGTGGCAATCCTTCCCATAAAACCTAAAGGGTCACATAAATCTGCTTAAAATGATCTATCTCCAGAATCTGAAATCTGTGCTGCAATCGGCTCCAACTTAGACTTAACTTACAGGTGCACAAATACGCAGGGGGCCCGTCAGTACCAAACGTCTAATACTAGCCTGGCATAAAGCACATACCTGAGCAACAGAACAAACTCTGGTTTTGCCCAATACACCTCTCTGCTTCGATCCTCACCTCAAAACTCTCCATGACTTTGTGGATGCATTGTGGTGGGACCAAAGAGGAATCACACATATGCACCACCTATATAACAATGGTACACTACTTTCTAATAGTTATAACATTTTTGAGTAAAAGAACTGTCACTTCTACAGATACCTCACTCTCTACGATGCACTACAAGCACAACTGTAACCAAAGATGACTTTGAAGAAGTGGAAGACACCCCCAAAAAGCCCCCTACTGAAATCGATGAGAGAACTCATCAGCATAGATCATGAGGTTTGGAGCCGGTGTTGGTGACCTCCCTAAAGCTATTTAGCGGTCCGATATGTTAACCCACTGGCTTTGATACTCAATGAATAAGAACAAATAGGCGGAATATGGAAGGAGAAAAGTCTTAAGTCCATTAACTGCATACATATACTGACAAGGAACAAGAGATTTTCCTCATGACAGCCAGACGGCTAACATTTTTAGAAGAATTGTGCAATGGCAGCCTCAAAATTCCTCCTTTGACAGATTTCCTTATGGATGAAGAAAAGTCCACTTTACAGAAAATCATACAATGCCTCAATCCTGATGGTCAGAATTTTTAGGCTATATCCATTCTCTGAAGATCAGAAATATCTACAAGAACATCCTTACGGGTATGTAATTTTTACTTGCCACTGGAGGTCAATATATATTCTGAATGACACAACCAGTTCTCTATGAGCCATCCGTTCCACCCCAAAAAGCAGTTGCTAACATTCAAACAAAAAGCACCATTGAGGGAAACATTGGTAAAGCTTAGCTATTAGTAACAGCTCAACCGTGGCCTCAATAGTTGCCACCAACTTTTTGAAAATTAACATTTAACAGCAAAATTATTTAGAATGATTTATCTCACATAATCACATTGCTGAAATCCTGAACCCTACACCAGGGGGATGGCATTTGGAGGTACAACTTCTTACTAATGGGGTCTGAGACGTCAGCAGCAATTCAACATATTCTTCACTTAAAGTGGACCTTTACCCCCTTTCACTAAAAATCACCTCGGCATGCAGCTCTGCAAGCTGATATGAAATCATCTTATATTCATTAGTTAAACAAACATATTTTTCTTTTACTTCTAATTTGTGTTTTTCCACTTCCTGGTCGTCTTGGGCATTAGTGATGTAATGTGCCCAGGCATTGCATCCTGGGAAGGCTACATCAGCAGGGCACTGCTGGGAAATCTTATCTGTAAACTCACAAGATCTCAAGGAAAGGCATTTTCTCCCCTGAGATGATGTGCATGGTCACATGTGCCAGAGTCCTAGAAAGTAAAGAGATATATTACTTGGCCATTAGTAAAAATGGCCACTGTGAGAAGAGTGGGGAGGAGAAGAAAATTAAGGCATGCAAAGAATAAAAAGCCTGCAATTATCTATACGTGTCTGTATGTAGATTCTCATTACTAAAAATTTCCACAGGTATATTTGTTGTCAATTCCAAGATATGGATAAAGTTCCTCTTTAAGAGTAGATCAGCATCAAATAGCATACACGGTACTGCAGGTTCTTCCTAACTTATATAAGGTTTCTGTTGAGAATGCCACACTGTGCTCACTGCTTCAGACCCCTAAGTAGCAGCACATGTGCTTTGTTCTATTAGTTGTTGCCTTTATGTAGTAGATATTAAACACATTTTAAGACTTACAGTTTGGTTGGTAGATATGCAGCAGTATCATCTTTGCTTTTGATCATTTCATTGCACTTGTCCAATGTCTGGAATACAGTGTAGGTGTCTCCAATAATGTACAACGTAGCTAGATTCTTAGCAAGTAGCTTGCGAGTGGGTGGACCAGGAGAGCTGCTTATAAGTCCTGTAAGCTGTTCCACAAGTTTCTTCTGGTTCTCTTTAGCATCGGTCTGTTAAAAGTAACTTGAAATTAACCATCTTATACAATTAACTCTTGCATGACATTTTCAATAATAATGATGCTTTTATGTTATCCATTGCATAAAACTAAAATTATATAATCAAATGAAGCCAAATTAAAAAGTCTCACTGCATACTTTTCAGGGTTGTCTTTGTCCATAGAAAAGCTACTTTTAAGAGAGGTCACTCATGCCAACCCAGAAACAACATGTAATAAGCTGCAACTATCCATATAGATATAATCAAACACAAAGCAAGCCATGTCAGTGTATAATGGGTTAACAAACATCAGTGTGACTGTAGTCATATCATGCAGATAGTATTCAACACCACAATGCTGAATATAAGGAATATGCTTAATGAGGATACATGCACAGAAGGCCACAATTAGCTCAAGCATGTTTACAGGCATACTATCTCCAGGGAAAGAAGTGTCACTTCGTCACAGCCTGCAGAGATCTTTTATCAGGACAATTATTATACAGTGAGGAAAATAATTATTTGATCCCCTGCAGATTTTGTAAGTTTGCCCACTTACAAAGAAATTAAAGGTCTATAATGTTTTATCATAGGTGTATTTTAAATGATAGAGACAGAATATCAACCAAAAATCCAGAAAAAACACATGATACAAATGTTATAAATTGAGTTGCAGTTCAGCGAGTAAAATAAGTATTTAACCACTTCAAGACCAGGTGTTTAGACCCCCTTCCTGGCCAGGCCATTTTTCAGTGTTCAGCGCTGACCAACCAACAATTATTCTGGATCCCACAGACTGGCTATGTGGTACACAGATTAGCCCTGTCAATTTAAGAAGGTGCTCCTAACGACAACTCGTTATGTATATAAAAGAAACCTGTGCACAGAATATCTTTCTTTCATTCAAACCTCACCACCATGGGCAAGACCAAAGAGCTGTCAAAGGACGTTAGGGACAAGGTTGTAGACCTGCACAAGGCTGGAATGGGCTACAAGACTATCAGCAAGAAGCTTGGTGAGAAGGAAACAACTGTTGGAGCGATTATTCCTAAATGGAAGGAATACAAAATAACCCTCAATCGCCCTCAGTCTGGAGCTCCATGCAAGATTTCGGCTCATGGGGTAAGGATGATTATGAGAAAAGTGAGGGATCAGCCCAGAACTACATGGAGCTTGTGAATGATCTTTAGGCAGTTGGGACCACAGTCACCAAACAAACCATTGGTAACACAATACACTGCCATGGGATGAGATCCTGCAGTGCCCACAATGTCCCCCTCCTCAAGAAGGCACATGTACAGGCCCGTCTGAAGTTTGCCAATGAACATCTAAATGATTCAGAGAAGGATTGGGAGAAAGGGCTGCGGTCAGATGAGACCAAAATTTAGCTCTTTGGCATTAACTTGACTTGCCGTGTTTGGAGGAAGAAAAATGCTGATTATGACCCCAAGAACACCATCCCTACAATCAAGCATGGAGGTGGAAATATTATACTTTGGGGTGATTTCTCTGCTAAAGGTACAGGCCGACTTTGCCGCATTGAGGGAGAAATTATAGACCTTTAATTTCTTTGTATGTGGGCAAACTTACAAAATCTGCAGGGGATCAAATAATTATTTTCCACCCTGTACATATCCTTATTACGATTCAAGACAGAATGCATCGAATAAGCCATAAATACCCTACATTGTCTTCCACACTTATAGTAATAATACAAAGGATTGCACTTAGACCTTAAAAAAAAAATGTGTATACACATGCCATGAAAGCCTTGAGATTATGGGTTTCACTGGGACCATAATGGTTCCGATATCAGGATTTGGTCTGCAAATGATAAAAGAGTGCCAAGCATAGATTCATGTGCCTCATTCACACCACAACGTTGGTTGACCTGCGGTGTGGAAACATGCAGACATACTGAATTTTGTCTGCAGCGCAGTGGATGGCAACGGAGAACACCAGGGACATAAATGGAATGAGAAAAAGTAAACACTGCCTTGAGTTTTAAGAATGTAAAGCACCACTACACATCATTCCCGCTTAGCGGACACCAGCCACACGCCAAAATGGAACATTTTAGTATGCAGCTGGTTTGACCAAGCCCTAATCCAGTAGGTTGAAGTGACCGATATAGCTAAACTCTCAGCTTCTACAAAAAGCAGTAGATGTGTCTGTCGAAATCTGTGTATTGGCCTACTATCTACTAGAGAGCAGGGTTTTCTGCATAGAAGTTGTGGTCTTTCACAAGCTTTCATACTTTGAGGGTCCACTGACTACCTGGGAAGCTTTCATTGTTCCTTCTTCCTGCCACTTGCCTGGTCTCTTTACCCATCTCATTGTTGAAGCGGGGATTCAAGGAGAAATGGACCGCTGCAGCCGATGAGGATTGGGGGAGCAGAGAGCGCAAACTGTCAGGATGGCCGAGCGTAGGAGAGAGGAGCCGGCAGCTGTCAGGATGGCCAAACAGGGAGGAGAGAGAGAGAGAGAGCTGCTGTCATCCCGTCAGTTTCAGGATAACAGTGGCTGTGTGTGTGGCCGAGCAGAGGATCAGTAAATGTGTGTGATATTTACTGATCCTCTTTGTGCAGAAAAAACACTGGAGTGATCGCTGCGTCCAAAAAGAGAAGTAAAGCCAAAAAAAAGATTTGGCTTTACTTCTCTTTTTATATGACAGGCACCATTCAAAATAAGGATTCCCCTTATGATAATATGTTGCTTCTATCAAGGAATGAAAGCAAGAGGCATAATCACATTTGAGCATAGCCAATTACATTTTTTGTAATAATTGCTTTGCATAACGTAGTTTCAAAAGCACATAAACATGCATATATGGCATCCCTATTAACAGATGAAAGTAAAACACAGAAACGGACACTTACCTTGTTTGCAGCAATGAGTACTTTGTCCAGAAAGCGGAGCCACTCGAAAATAAAGACTGGCTTCTTGGCCTCTGTAACCTGAGCCAGAGCATCTTCCTTCAGGAGCAAACTGTGAGCCAGTTCCATGTTTGTTTCAGATCATTCACTAAATAAGGGTCCTGTGTTAAAAACAATTACTGAATTAGCAATTTAACATACCGCATATACTCGAGTGTAAGCCGTCCCGAATATAAGCCGAGGTACCTAATTTTACCACAAAAAACTGGGAAAAAGTATTGACCCGAATATAAGCCGAGGGTGGGAAATGAGGCAGCTACTGGTAGATAGATACCAATAAAATTACATGAATATTTATTTAAAAGAAAAATAACCTAGCTCTGTAAGTGGAAAAGGGGGTACAGGGCTACATATCATATATAGCCTCACATATGAAAAGGCCAGATCAAGCTCAGATTTTACATTGATAGGGCATATATGAAGTATGTCATAATATTTCAATGTATGTGACCACCTGGTCACTGTATGTCTGCTGTAGGTGACAGACTCTAGCACAAATAAATGTTACCCAGAATAGTGTTGGGAGTCCCCTTTTCTAAAAGCTGGCCATACACCTATAGATTATCTGCACATTTTCTATGGTCAGATGGAAAAAGTGCAACGGATTCCTCAATCTATGCTAAAATGTGTGGATGAAGGAATCTCCCACTGGGCCAAGTTTCAGTATCTTGCTAGTCGGCCCCGCTGGCTGTTAAAATACCTGAACAGTCTGATTGGATGCAGGCATTGCTCAGGTGTTTTGACAGCCAGCGGGGCCGACTAGCAAGATACTGAAGCTTGGCCCTGTGGGTGTAGATTGAGGAATCTGTTGCACTTTTTCCATCTGACCGCATATAATCTATAGGTGTATGGCCAGTTTTACTGTCCTGATCACCACTGTCCCTAGAAATGAAAGGGCGTAAAAAAATAATAATATTTGGAGCTGCCACCAGAACAGGATTAGAGTGGAAATCTTTCAATGAGGACAAATATTCCAGTGACAACTAAGTGGGGATTTCCCTCGCATTGAAAAGATATCCTCTCGCTTTCTGATGAGTCTCCAAGATAGAAAATAAAGGGAAATCCCCCTAATAAGACTCAGATGGCAAAAAAAAATTGACAGTGGTTTTAACCTTTCCTCACGCTATCCAAAAAAAATAAAATAAATAATTTTATCTTTAGATATGCTTTATTTATTATGGCGGATGTAGATTGCTGCCCCTCCACATCAAATATGCAAAGAAAGTGTATGAGCTGAAGGGAGGGGGAGGAATGGCATCTCATACATTGCCCATGTATGGTCTATATGGTTCACATTGCCCTTGAATAAAAACAATAGCAAGGCTTATACAGTTTTAATTCTCTTTTCTCCATTAAATAAATAAGGAGACATTTGCTAGGAATAACCCAGTTATTAGTAAAAGTAGCAGTGAAACCATCACTGTGCTGTTCATTGCCGGTGCAGAGATCAGACCTGTGGGAGGGGCCCAACAGGCCACACCCACTACAGAATGCCTGCAGAAAACTTCAGAAGGGGGCGGATACAAGACCAGTCACCCTACACAATGAGAGAGAGCAGCAGTGACTGGTCTTTATTACAGGAAACTCCTTCACAAACAAAAAAAGTTTAATGCTAGATTACTGCACAAACCTGGAAGAAATACACAAAGCACACCAAGATTCAAGTAAGACTCATATAGCTCTTATATTCAGACAATGTTTGTTTATCCCAGAATTCAGCTTTAAGGGTTAGTTCACACCATAAGCAGTCCGTTCCTGTTCGATTCTGGCCGGAACGCACTGCCTCGCATTGCGGCCGGCTCACTTTTTTGCCGGACTGGAGGGACGTGGCCGGCCATTGAAGTGAATGGCACTGTGCCAGGCCCTCCGGCCACAATGCGATCGCCCGCATGGGATCGCAAGGCACATTGTGCCTGCAGTGCGGTCCGGTGCGATCAAAATGCTGCAAGCACTATTTTGATCACACTGCATCGCACCCCACTGCAGGCACAATGTGCCTTGCGATCTGGTGAGGGCGATCGCATTGTGGCCGGAGGGCGTGGTTACGGTGCCATTCACTTCAATGGCCCGCCACGCCCCCTCCAGCCCGGCAAAAAAGTGAACCGGCCGTAATGTGAGGCACTGCGTTCCGGCCAGAATCGGACCGGAACGCACTGCTTATGGTGTGAACTAACCCTAAAGCACAATGCTACCTTTCTGGAAAAAAATTATATTTGTGGACGGTTCAGAGAAAAAAAAAAAAAAGCTTTCTTTTGAACATATATATTCCAACTATGTTTCCTTAGCCACAGTCTCCTGAAGTAAACATCGTGCTCAATTAAAAATGTTGCCAAGTAGGACTTTAAGTGCTACAGAACATTCCACACGCAGTGCATGGATTGTTTTTTTAAAACACATTGAAATATAGCACACAATTCCAATATTCAATTCTCCATGTAGCTGGGTCTTACTGCATGATGCTGTGAGCCCACTGTTTTAAGAAGCCGGATGTAAGAACTAGGGGAGAAAAAATAAGAGAATATATGTCTCAGACTAATCACAGAATCCAACAAGATTCAAATCTGATCTAATACTATACATTGTCTTTTCTCTAAGGGCCCTTCATTCCCTGCGTTTTAGCAGACGGGCTACTACGCTGTGGCACTAGCCCCGCAGTGTGCAAAACGAGCTGTCATTAAATCCAAGTAAAAAAAAGGAAAGCTGCAGTCCAGAAATAAATGTTCGATTCGCTGTTTAATCCATGAGCATAAATAAGCCTTACACCGTTGCACAACTACACGCTCTCACGCGTTCCACCATTGTGGCTTGATCAAGCTACAATGGTGGAACATGTAATAGCGTGAAGTTGTGTGACGGTGTAAAGCTAGAGCCAGCACCTGACAAACGGGTGAGATCCTCGGACTGTGGAGGTGGATGTGAGCGGAGTAGTTGCTTTGTGCGACTGCCAGCTGTCACTTTTTATATGTTTTTTTAAGTTAATGTGGAGTGTACAATGTGTACACTACATTCAGGTCCCCGCACTGCAATGGGGG